CATCACCCGCTGCAGTGTCATGAGCTTGCTCAATAGCAGTATGTAGCTCATGTAATGAAAACACTTCATTATAATCTTCACCGTTATGTGATTCGAAATTAAGTTTTGTCTTTTCCTGTTGCTTCTGATATCTCTGAAACTCAGGGACATAATTTGCCGATGAAGAATTTTTGGCAAGAGTTTCGACATATTTATCTGCAATTTTAGATTTGTCAGTTATTAAATTATCGCCATCTTTAAGATGGTGAACAGCAGATTTTGAACCTTTGCCTTTAATTCTTTGAACCATGTTCCATACTCTGGACATTGGCGTACGTGAATTAATTTTGGAGAGACATTTCCTCCAAGATTGTCGTTTGTTTTGTTCAAAGGTACGACGTGCCTTCGCATTGAGTATTTTGAATTGATTTAAATTATGGACAGTTGGATGGTGGCGGAAATAATGTTCTGCCTTCTTCCTCGCTTTTCTGGCTTGTCTACAGTCTGTATTAAACCATGGTTTCCGTACGTAGAGGATTTCGGTATACATTCTTCAGCTATTTCCTTTAAAACGTCAGCAAAAATCTGAATTGGATCAGTTACATCACCGAAGCATTCAGGTCGTAATTTAGATTTACATATAGTTTGAAATAAGGACCAGTTAGCCTTTGAGAAATTCCATCTTGTATATGATGGAGAATCAGATGGAGTTATTTCTGAAAGAATAGTTGGGAAGTGGTCACTTCCACAAAGGTCATTATGAACAGACCAATCAAATTCATTCAGGAGGTTAGAATCTGCAAGAGACAAATCCAGAGAAGAATAAGTGCCAGTTGCAGGATGCAGATAGGTGCTTGAATCATCATTAAATATGCACAGGTCATTATTGGAAATGAAATCTTCCAGTATTTTGCCTTTAGTATTAGTGTTAGTAGTGCCCCAGAGTGGGTTGTGACCGTTTAGGTCGCCCATAATAACACATGGCTTTGGGAGTTGATCATAGAGTGATTGAAGATCAGTCAGATGAAGGTTCGATGAAGGCGGAATATACAGAGAGCATAACGTAAATGCTACACCCAGAGTAAGTCGCACTGCAACTGCTTGGAGATTAGTGTTAAGTGTAACAGGGCTGTGAATAACATCCTGTCGTATAAGGATAGTAGAACCTCCAGTGGCTCTATCACCTGGAGGGGAAAAATAATGATACGTTTCAAACTGACGTAAGTTAAAATCTTGCAGACAGAACGCTGATGGTGTGAAATCCTGGATTAATAGCTGTATTTCATTAAAATTTGTCCGGAGTCCTCTACAGTTCCACTGCACGATATTGGTAGATAGACCTATCTTTTAGGCGGATTAATTGGGGATCTACCACGCACCGTTTTCGAGGGCGACAAGCTATGTGCCCTAGAATGGACGTTTTCGGACACGTCCATGTCCTCAAGTGATCCGTATTGGTTAAATAATTTGATTTTATCATCTGACCCCTTGGGGGCTCTGCCACTTTGTTTATTCGAATCTGGCTTCGGTTTGCCTTTTTTTTTCACGATTTGTTGAACGTTTGACGTTGATTGAGACCTTTGAGTTGACTGAGAAGATGCGCCACGGTCACGAGATGGTTCTGATTGGGGCGTACCAGGAAGTGGTTCTGCAGTTTGTGTAGATATTGCAGGTGACAAAATCTGAGGAGAATCTGTTTTGATCCAAGTCAAGTTCGTCTGACAGCTTACAGATGATTTAGTTATTGTTGGGGTTGTTTCTGAAGATGTTTTGGCTTTGGAAGCACAAGTATGCTTTATTTCCGATCTCAAGACAAGCTTTTTGGCATCAGAAAAACTGATTATTTTGAGTAAACTTGATCTTATTTATCTCCATCTGCTGTTTCCAAATGGGACAGTCTTTTGAGAATGATGAGTGATCCCCTACACAATTGGTACACTTCTTAAAGTTACTGACACAATCTTCTGATGTATGTGTCTTCTCACTACAGTGAGCACACACAACAGACAATGTGCAAGTACTAACACCATGACCAAACTTTTGGCATTTAAAACATCTCAGTGGGTTTGGTATGTAGGTGTCGACATTAATGTTACAGTACCCTGCCTTTAGTGATCTTGGAGCAGTTGGAGAAGAAAATGAAAACAGATACGTGTTTGTTGAAATGGTTTCCTGTTTTTTGCGTGTTGTAAAACGCTTTACATATAAGACCCCTTGATATTTCATTTCTGAAACAATATCAAGTTCAGACATGTCGGTGAACAATCGATCTCGGTCTCTTACGATTCCTTTGCTGGTATTAAGTGTTCTGTGAGGAGAGATCGAAACCGGAATACCGACGAACGTTTCAGTACTCATCAGGTTATTAGCCTGTTGCCTTTTGCTGCACTCAATAAGCAGTGCCCCTGAACGTAAACGTTTGATGTTTTTAACATCACCGGCTATGCCTTGTGTGCCTTTTTGTATAGCAAAAGGATTTAACTTCAGTCTGGTGTTATCTTGTGTCTCCATCACTAAGAAGCGTGGCCAGTAATCAATGGACAGTCGTTGGTCGTAATCATCTGGATCAGTGTCAAGTGGACGCTTTTTTTGGTAATGGGGGTTTCGTAAGCCATGGTTAGTTTTTAATGGTTCATCATCCGAGCTCCCCACCCACCACGGAGTATCACGTGGTAAGGACAATGCTAAAAACAAGTGGGTCTCCAGCTTGCAGCACCAAGGATACTCGGATGATATACTCAAGCAGAAAATCTAAAAGATTAATTTTTCCACCAGATTGGCCCATGAGCCATCGCCTTCTGGCACCAGCATCTAGGCAAATTTCTACTTTTCAGATGTTTCAAAAAGTTGTGTATAATAATAAACTTACAAGCACAATAAGTTTAACAATATGTATAAAAATACCAAGCCAAAAAGTGATAGAGCAATGAAAATAAGGTGCTCAGGGCTCGGCATGACCAGCCGATTGGTTGAACCGGGCCCATTCAACCACCCGTCTAAGTTAGGGCCAAAGTGGTGTGTTGGGCAAAGGAACACTGTTCCCTCAACCACCAGAATCCCTTCCTCCACCGACACAGGGGCGCAACCCACGGCAAACAGGTTGGTGGACCAAATATACCCCCGGGTCCACAACGAGGGGTCGAAGAGCGCTTAGCGTTACCCAGCACCCACCACGAGGAGGTGGCTCTTCACGGGTGCCCCGTTGTCTCGATATTCATAGGACCACCTTCAACGTAGTTAGCCCTAATTAGCTTACACTAACGCATCCCTTTGATTCATACCACACCGTGTGTAAACGTGTGTAAAAAACCTCCGTTCAGATGGATACTTATGAAAGGTAGGTGAATATCGAGCTTTTTTGCAAATATCGAGTTAAAAGGGTAATTTTCTTCTTCGGACCATGAAATTATATCGAGATATCCGAAATATCGAGACATCCGTATCGAGTTAAAAGAGCTTGAATAATGATAAATTATGAAAGATTTTGCCGGGACCAAGATGTTACACCGAGATATCGAGTTATCAGAGTTCGACACAACGGTGCTCGACTGTAGTTAGATATATATCTTCAGGAATCAGGGCTTCACAGACAACATCAAGGCAAAAGTTCGGGAAAAACATTCAAACATGAAGAAGGCATCCCTATGGTCACCAACTCTCCCTTCCTTTCGAGCAATATTCCAAGGGCTTCAGGCATTGGTATCTCGCTTTCATTACGTTAGAGGTACAATCGAGCATGGCTTTCTTATTCTTTTCAAAGTGAGGCAAAAGTGCTCGAAGTGTAGAACACGCTTAAAACATTCAAACTTTAGTATCAGTGTTATTGAAGACATGTGGAGGACATTTCTATATTTCTCGATTCCGACTTTTGTTTATAGCATGTTAACGAAAGTGTGTTCTTTTCAGGTGAACAAGTGACAGGATTTTATTTTGTTTGTGAGAGTGAAACCAGTCTGGCAGGATATGCTCAACTTTTTCGCGATATCCATTCATGCATGTAAAAGCCTTGTAATATTGTCGACTCGGACAATCGCCTCTCATTTGAAATTTGTTATGAATATGGAAGCATCTATTTCATTTTTCGTAGGATACTAGGAATCCCTTTTGTCAAAGAACCTGGTAACGTCTCTGATATTATTCATGTAATTGTCATTGCTACTATATCATCCCTGTGGCAATAATAGGGATATGTCAATATAAATTAGTATGCAATTTGTTTGTGCTTACATGAAAAGTCACAAGCCCTTATTTATTAATTACAAGTCCTTGTGTTTTCCCTTACTCAAATTACAAATCCTTGTCTATTCTTGTGCTCAACTTAAAATACTGAATCTGTACCTGGCTCTTGTTTACCCTCAACGTGTGTTGAACATCATCACATCATGATTAAAAGGTTGTATCGTCTTTGAAGATTTAGACATAAGTTACAGTCATTTCTTTTGAACATAATACATGGTTAAGATATTGAAAACTCGAAATCAGATCCTGCCAGTGTGTCAGGTGTGGTGTACAGGAAGATTGTAGTATGGAGGTCTTCCATTCCCCCCAAACTCTGTGTCGGCTCGGTACTCAAACCCACCGCCTTTAGAATATGAGAACCCTCAGACTAACTTGGTATCTTATGACATGCCTGTAGCACTCATTTTAACAAATTCCTACCGCATACCTGCATTGGCAAAGGGAAAAGTATTTTCATGAACAACACAAAAATTATATTTTAACCATTTATTGAATCCCTCGGTTGATTAGATATTCCACATACATTTATAACCCAAATAATAAGTCACATGGCGATCACAAGAGAGTGAACGTTACGAAGGTAAATTGCGCAGATGTACATAGCGAACGAAAATAAATGACATTTCTTTGTTATTAATAATGTACAAGGTTATCTGAAATGTTTCATATACCATGACATATCTGAAACAGAAGACTGTAGTATATTTGAATAACTATTCAAGTTTATATTTTTTTCAGAAAATGAACGATGTGTTCAAATGCAAGAATGCAACATTTCTGTAGCATGATTTTGTCTGTGAATGCACAAAAGAAATCCAGGGCCGAAACAAAAGAATAATTTAACAACACACGGAATTTAGAAGCCTTTATCAGAAAACTGTGAAAATACAAGAGCTGAAATAGTTTTTATTCTTAGCGTTAGAAAAGTTATTATATTCGGTATTGGTAAAAGAAACAGTCCGTCATGTTATCCTTGGATGTCCTTAACAGGTGCCCGCCTGTTGATGAGACAAACGCCAAGGAGAAGACAGACTCCAAGGAGGACGAGGACAACGACAGCCAGACCAATCACTGCGGCTGTTAGATTGATGGCACCAGTCTGTGCAACAGCGTCTTGAACAGCACTCTTCACTGGAAGGAGATAGTTTCATACATAATAATTTGTGTGAATAAGATTGATACATTCAGGGTGTTATGGGCCCTCTTAGCAAAAAGAATAATGTTTTAGATTTTCTTTCTTTTCGAATGATGTTCACAAAGAATACAAACAATGTAATATAAGCGTAAGCGTCAGAGAATAACCAGTCTGGATTATCTGCCTCACCGATTCCATTGAGTGTAAAAGGCAAAGTAGCAGTGAAAATTGTATGGCTGGATCACTGAAAACCAGTGTTCGCCAAGCTATTGAGCATGCCCTGCTCTTCTGATGTAACAATTAACTGATTCGTCATTGTTGATAATGACTTACCCTCCGATGCTGCAAATGGGTCGTTGACTCTGATATATGTCACAACCGTTTTTTGTTCTGTTGAGTTAGACGAGGCGGTTATTTCTCTCTTCTTACGCCCGAAACCGGACACTCCATCAGTACAGGTTACCTAAAAACAAAAATATAATTAGAAAACAATAAAAACTTGATCGATCAATCTGTATTTAACCGACACAATCGTTATATACTGAAGAGTATATAAATACAGGATCTGGAAAATTCAAGTGTTCATTTAAACCAGTACATAGCTTTGAATAGCGCTGTGGTCAAAAAACTGAAAATATTTTTCTTGAACGTTTGAATTTTCCTGTCATCCTTATTTAATTTTAAGCTTCACTCGTGTATATTTTCGAGTTTAGAACAAACATTTAATCCATCGCTGAGTAAGACAGTCACCCAGATTGCACATCATAAACCTTATGTCGTCATTAGTCTGTTCCCGTGACATTATCTGGCTCAGAAGCCCACTTACTGACTATCAGTTTCCATATTCAATCCACATCACCAAAAATGACAGTAACTTCGTATCATGTACATGTACTTACCAATGCGCATTCGGTCATTTGTCTGCAGATAAGAACTGAACACTCGTAAGTGACGGTGATACTTCCTGTGAATTTGATAGCTTCTGTCTCAATTATGACTGGACTGCCACCTGTACGCGAGGTGCCTTGAACAAAAGTCTTTGTGGGACAACTGCAGTAAAAGAATTCAAGTGAAAATTTAGGCTTTTGATGCGAGAAATGAAAGTTATCGATAGTAAAATTAATTTATTTGTATACTTTTGATCTATAACGTACCTGTTTGCAATAAATTCAACTTCATTAGATCCACCGTCTTTGGCTTTGCACGAAAGCACACGTATTGCAGCAAAATCTGTTTGTAACATTTTAGAATCATCGAGGTAGTCAATAAAATTTAGGAGTACCATCATATCAATATGCAAGATATATCATATTTATATCTGGATTTCGCTGATGATAATGAGACATGGGTCCACATTAAAGGCAGTTCAATATTTCCTTAAATTGAAAACAAAATATTAAACTCGGGCTTAAAAACACGTCGGTATTTCTATAAAGTTACGAAAACAATAAACTTCTTCTGGGCCTTGGATGATAAATATGTTATGACATATACAGAGGTATTCCTGTGTTACTAAGCAGAGAATGACATTCAGAGAGGTTGTGATGATGTAAATATACATGATATAAAATAATGTATACCAGTGGCAGAATCAAGTGTGAATTCCAGCTTAACCGTCGAACCGATATCAACTGCAGACCCAGTAGCAATAGAGGCGTCAGCACCGTTCTTCATCACAACTGTCACGACATTAGCCCCGGCAGGGTCTGCATTAACGTTTGCTGTAAGCAGTCCACTGAAATGAGGACATTTGAAAAATTGATGAATACAAAGTTCTAATATGACTTATGATTAAGAAATTTCCTACCATATTAACATTGGCATACGCTTTTATCTTTCGATTTGTGTGTATCGTGTCGGTCAATGCAACCCGTGATAATAATTAATCTTCAGCAATTCCTAAAATGCGACTGACTAAGACTGACTGCTTATCCTAAGATGTGACTGAAAGCATCGGCAGGTCAGACTCGCTCATTTGGTTGATGCATGTGGTTGATAATTGCGCAGTAGTAGTAGAGGGTTTTTTTGCCGCAGATGCGGCTTAGAGGCTTATTTTTATGAAATAAGTTCCCCAGCCCCCTTAAAAACGGCGATGGTCTAACGAGAGGCATCCTTCGGTGTGCCGCCAGCCTGGACCCAAAGTTCCGAATATTGACTGATCGGTAGTCACGGCGGTGTGATGGTAGAGCGTAAGACTCGTAATCCAGCGACTGCCGTCTAGACCTGACGTCAGAGTATTTCTCTGGCTGTGGCCTGTCACGCGGGTATTGAATACAAAGCAAGGCACACAGTGTGCCTTATAGGGTTGTTGGCTGATTGTAGTGAAGAAGATGTTTGAAACCAGACGCTGAAAACATTTTTAGAAGCCACAATCAATTATTTTAAAATTGGGTTACATAAGTTTGGAAAGCGTATGAGTTATATATAGCAATGTTAAAATCAACCAAAAACAGTTTGCTTGATGTGCATTGATCTAAACAGTAGCTGTTGCCTAGCTGCTCTCGCCTGACTGCCTACGGCCGGGTTGACCTAATGTGGGTTTCTTGAAAAGTAGTAGTACGATGAGGGTTTATTATTTTTTACTAGGCTATGTTTACATCAACAAAACAGTTTAAGGTGAATCTTTGATGAGATCTTTGTTCTTTGTCAGGAAGGTTTAAATGATTTGTTATCAACCCTGTTCTATGAGCGTTTTTTTCTCGTCTTCGCTGAAGTCAGCGGTTTTTCCGAGTCTTTGTTCGAATCTCTTCTTTCATTCGGTGGTATTTCGCGATTTCCGACATCACCAAACGAAACTCTTCCTCGGAGATCTGCTATCGGTGATCGGGGTGGAAATATGATCGTTGATCTTGTTTAACTTGGCTTCGGCCAGAACCCTGATCTCGTCATGCTTCAGCACTTTCCGTTGCAGACGAAGTGAAATGAAATTAAGGGCTACTCCCGCCTGCCCCGATACCCCCGGCGGTTATTTCTAACACGAGGACGACGGGAAGGGCCACGATGGTGGATAATAGGCCAACGCCTGCTACGCCTAATCCCGTGCTAGCTGCCACGAGAGATGTGTCCACACCGTCGATGGCATTGACGGCTCGATGGTATTTTTTGTGCAATCCGAGTCGCACGTCGCGTTCTCATTCCAATTGGTGTTTAATTTTGCTGATTTGTCGCAAATGAAATCCATCCACGGTTTGGAGCGTTTGAGCCACGTTGTCCATGGCCGGATACAATCCCATCTTGAGCATATTACCAGTTTAGGAAATAAGCTTCAATTGATCCACCGTCAATATTTGATTAATGTACTTTAAGCTGATGAGGTGCATGTGCTCGGATAAATGAATGTAGTCGAGTAAAATGAGTGGCTCTAGGAAAACCATGACCCCCTCGAGGCTTGTGGTGGGGGCTCTTCCTGGTTGTTTATAAATATGACAACGTTTATAATGATGGCGGTCATACCAGCGTATTTTTAACCCATTTAGAATTGGTTCATCTTTTGCGGGGTCATCTCTCAGATGAACTTCAATAATAACTGTAGAACCTGGTACCGCTCTGATCCACGTTTCTGGGATTTCATAATTATGTTTTTTTTCAATCGCATCAGTTTTTATTTGGGTTCCGGACGGGTGACTACCATATTACCTGTTCGATCTGGTAACGTTGATACGTACACCATCTTTTCGTTGAATGGACTAAAACCATCCAGTAGAGCCCCATTATTTTTCAGTTTGATGACATCACCATCCTCATCCATGATGAGATAGGGGGTAGGTCAGGACGATATTGATGATCAAGTTCAATTCGATGATGACTTCTCGACGTTGGTACACGTTGTTTTGTAAGTGCAATACGTACAAGGTGTTTTCCATACCGGGTTCTTCGAATTCTCGTGTGTCCGCGAGATCGGAGAACGCGATGGTGGGGATTTGATTCGGGTTTGACACGTCGCCCATGGTTATGCTCGTATTATGGAAGAGTCTTCAATTGATTCTCAGACGATTTCTCGTGCGTAAACTTTACGTTGATGAGATGGATTTTTTGACGGTAGAAAAATCCTTGTGAGCACGATTTTATTCTCAAAATTAATCGTTACGCCTTCGAAACTCGTGTAAGCATTGACGTTTTTCTGTATGTAAATCGAGCACACGTGATTTTGATGTTTTCGTGGCCAACGGAGGTTTATTCCAATTATAATTTCAACATCTCGGTCGGGTGATGCCTCCCCGAGAAAGACTTCAATATAAAGTGTAGAATTGTTTGGAATCCCTTGTGTGAAATCGGTCATGTCTGTAAACTCGTATTTTGACTATCCGGTCGACTCGCTAGCAAATGACCCGCTTTATTCTAGATGAGGCTCATGATAATACTCCTTCGTTGCGTTTGGACGTAAGCCGCAATGAGAATCCCCCTTATTGAGGACTTTTGTTAAATAATGATCCTTCGACTCCACAAAGATGTAGGGAGAAATGAGGGTGATATCGAGTAGCCAGTCGATTTGGGAGGAGATCAACGTCCATTTGTTATCATCGGTTAGGACGAACTGGTACAACGTGATTTTTAAGAGACGTTTGGTCTTGACATTGTCTAAATCGCCTAGATGGCCATGAAATGCCGGACCATCATCCAATTGTTATTGTCGTTGAGGACGAGATTGTACTGGGTGTTTTTCCTGAGGACGCCGGGTACGACATCGTCTAAATCTCCTAGGTTACCACCACCACCACCACCACGGACTTCTGCTCGCCTGTAAGTGTTGTTTCTTAATTCTAAAGCGTATATTTTGCCTTCGACCCCCGGGGTCGTCGAAGCCGTGCGTGTCCCTGAGGTCGGAGATTGCTGCGGTAGGGCATTTTCTAATTTGTATGATCGTTCTGGGACCCGAAGCTTGAGTCATCATTGTTTGATGTGCAGCGTGGAGCTTAGATAGCCGATATGCATTGGTTTATGTTTTATATCTAAAACAGATAGTTTGAGTTCCGTGATGTTAACTTTCTGTACTGCAAGGTCGAAAACGATTCCGTTCTGCAGTCCTTGCACTTTTCCGTTTTCACCGGAACGGCTCTCAGCAGCGTGGAAGGACGTTCGACTTGAATATTATCGGTCGTGCTTACCCTGTTGAGATGAACGAACACCTCGTGATAGACCATGAGGCTCGGTAATTTCGGACCCGTGACGGTGTCTCGGGGTTGTACGTTGTTCGATGGAAACCTGACCATTCTCACCAAGGGCCTACCGAATCGGATGGATTTTTCCCCATTCGTGAACGTCAGCGTACCATTCGACTCGTTGAGTTTAAGGGCTGTCTCCAATGGGTTTGAAAATTTCGCCGTTGAGCATGCACACGCTGTAATAACCGTCAGACAACTCGTGGCGATTTCCATCGATGAATAGCGTCTTCGAGGTCCCACAATGTGTTACCGATCGCGTGCAACAGTAAAAGGGGCTCGCCGTTCGTGATTCTCTGGAGCATGGCGTACATGTTACACATATACGAGACACTGTGGTATACTTTCAATATGGCTACACCCAAGTACAAGCCGGGAATGATTTATCCTAAAAGCGATAATTTAAGTGCTACTGATCTCATGCACATGAAAATCGTGGTGGATGCGAAGGACGGTTCCCACTTTCGAGCTCGATTTATCGATGTATTTGAAAAGTATAGGCTTTCGGTCACGAACGTCAAGGCAGTCCACACATGGTTTAACAACCCGATGCGGTCCGTGTTTTCCACAAAGATGTAGGGAGAAATGAGGGTGATATCGAGTAGCCAGTCGATTTGGGAGGAGATCAACGTCCATTGGTTATCATCGGTTAGGACGAACTAGTACGAACTAGTACAACGTGATTTTTAAGAGACCTTTGGTCTTGACATTGTCTAAATCGCCTAGATGGCCATGGAATGCCGGACCATCATCCAGTTGTTATTGTCGTTGAGGACGAGATTGTAATGGGTGTTTTTCCTGAGGCCTCCGGTTACGACATCGTGTAAATCTCTTAGGTTAGCACCACCACCACCACCACCACGGACTTCTGCTCGCCTGTAAGTGTTGTTTCTTAATTCTAAAGCGTATACGGGGTCGTCGAAGCCATGCGTGTCCCTGAGGTCGGAGATTGCTGCGGTAGGGCATTTTCTAATTTGTATGATCGTTCGGGACCCGAAGCTTGAGTCATCATTGTTTGATGTGCAGCGTGGAGCTTAGATAGCCGATATGCATTGGTTTATGTTTTATATCTAAAACAGATAGTTTGAGTTCCGTGATGTTAACTTTCTGTACTGCAAGGTCGAAAACGATTCCGTTCTGCCGTCTTTGCACTTTTCCGTTTTCACCGGAACGGCTCTCAGCAACGTGGAAGGACGTTCGACTTGAATATTATCGGTCGTGCTTACCCTGTTGAGATGAACGAACACCTCGTGATAGACATGAGGCTCGGTAATTTCGGACCCGTGATGGTGTCTCGGGGTTGTACGTTGTTCGATGGAAACCTGACCATTCTCACCAAGGGCCTACCGAATCGGATGGATTTTTCCCCATTCGTGAACGTCAGCGTACCATTCGACTCGTTGAGTTTAAGGGCTGTCTCCAATGGGTTTGAAAATTTCGCCGTTGAGCATGCACACGCTGTAATAACCGTCAGACAACTCGTGGCGATTTCCATCGATGAATAGCTTGTTGTAGGTGAGATCGCAGAGAGCGTCTTCGAGGTCCCACAATGTGTTATCGATCGCGTGCAGCAGTAAAAGGGGCTCGCCGTTCGTGATTCTCTGGAGCATGGCGTACATGTTACACATATACGAGACACTGTGGTATACTTTCAATATGGCTACACCCAAGTACAAGCCGGGAATGATTTATCCTAAAAGCGATAATTTAAGTGCTACTGATCTCATGCACATGAAAATCGTGGTGGATGCGAAGGACGGTTCCCACTTTCGAGCTCGATTTATCGATGTATTTGAAAAGTATAGGCTTTCGGTCACGAACGTCAAGGCAGTCCACACATGGTTTAACAACCCGATGCGGTCCGTGTTTTATTTTCATGTGTACTACCAGATCAGACGCATCCTGAAAGAGATAAGCACCCCGATTCCGCAGGACAAGACGTGGGATGTATCGAACAAATTATGAACGGATTTGTGGTGATTGCAAATCGATCCGAACACGGATTGGCGTATACCGGGTAGATCCACGGGTTGGGCATTCCGTACAGTGGAGCGAAATCCGTGAAAGAAGTCAGTAATGGTTTACTGAAAAGTGGTTGGCTCCGACAGGACTTTGCTCTGTCGAGTAATGAATGGCGAGATGATCATATGAATTTTAAAGGCGATGTTGCTTTCACCGTTCAAAAGGTGGAGCAGCCTCAATACGCTGAAGACGATTGGAAAGTATATATGTTGGATACGTCAAAGGGGTTAACTCGTCCCTGTGTTGTCAGTCTGAACGATTCGATTCGAACGTACGTGTGGGCGCTGCTTGTCGCGCAGTAGCAAAAGCTTTCCGGCATCATGGGTTAAAGGACGGACTACGACGCACAGAAACAGTTCGTGTCGAACGTCGAGGACGCCATCACCAGACCGGTGGATTTACCGAGTGCAATCTGGCGTTACCAGGACACGTTGTAATTCGGCCGGTGGGAAGTCGACTACATGTTCGGCATGGGACTGTACATGGCTCCGAGCGACATGCGAGTGAGGATCCACAAAGTGGTGGGCTACAACAACGAAATTGTCATCGCGACCGCCGATCAGAAACTGGGTGTCAATCCCGATGTAAACGCGAATCGAGTCACACCACCCATGAGTACCAGCTAAACGGGTATAGTCTTGCCACCCCCAGAGCCGCCCAGCGTTCGACCTGCACCATCACCACGCCCCACATCGGCGGTTGATAACATCAGCAACACCTCGACCGCAAAACGGCGCTTGTGGTCGGTGGATTCGCCGTCGGATTGTGTCTCATTTGGATAAAAGTTCTTTAGTGGCGACGTACAGCACACCAACAAGGACTGCCCACAGGTTCTGGCTGAGCCACGTGACCGTTTTCGACAACAAGCCCAGCAACCAGGACACGATGTTCTTTAGTGGCGACGTACAGCACACCAACGACGACTGCCCACAGGTTCTGGTTGAGCCACGTGACCGCGGGTAAATTAAACCTTTATTTATCATGGATGCACAGCTTAATATAGACAATGGAAGATTCGTGCATGCCATCTATTGATTTGCCTCTCGATCCGCATTGCGCCATCGTGTGCAGTCAGACGGGATGCGGGAAGACCGTGTTCGTCTTGTACATGCTGGAAGGGTACTATTAGGAATGTGTTCGATCATATCGTGATTCTTTGCCCTACGATACGCATCAATAAAACGTACACGGAGAGAGTGTGGGTGATGAACGACTCGGAGGTGTACACAATCGACCCGGGAGTACGTTTACAGGACTGGTTGTGAGCCTTACACGTGAAGTTCGAGGGAGAATCGAAGCTGTTTATCCTAGACGATTGCAGTGCGAATAAAGAGATAACCAAAAAGAGATACATGTTATCGTATTTAGCGTTTTCGGGACGTCACATGAAACACAGCGCTAGACCATCGCCGTTTTTAAGGGGGGCTGGGGAACTTATTTCATAACAATAAGCTTCTAAGCCGCATCTGCAGCAAACACACACCCACCACCACCACCCACCACCCCACTACTACTATCTGCGCCGTTACACTATAATCACTTCCTCGCTCATACTTGTCGGAAAGAGGAGAATCCACTTATTTCATCGTTTTTTCTGGTACTTCCATTACATTAACGTTGCTATCTATGACGGGCTCGTCCACAACTGATGGCCACAGGTTTTTGTAACCTTGAAGTATGTTTATAAAGACAAAGACACGAAATCACACTCACTTTTCTGTCAAGGACAGGAGCTCGCTAGTAACTGTTTTCTTGTCATCGCCGCAGCAGAATTCGGCCTCAAAGTCGACTCCAGTCAGATAAGAGGGTTCGTACCGGCAAATCACTGTAAAGCACTTAGTCTTCACGCCATCGGCATCCTGAAATTTATTATTATATGACCTAATTGTTGAATGTTTTTAGAAATGACGACAAATGATTAATAATCATGTTTCAGATTTAGGGAGGATGGTGCCGTGTACATATGCATTACTACATCACGTTGTCATTCATCTATATGCATGATTATTTTTTTATAAGAGCATAATAGCTACAACAGTCGTTCCAAACCGTTGTTTCTGTCGGCGATCCACAGTTAGTGGCATCTGTCAGGGATGCTTCCAGGAAGTCTCCCTTCCAGCCCGTTGGTGCACCGGTGGGCACAGTCGTAGAAAAGCTGCAGGTGCTCTCAAACCCCTTCACATAACACGTTGGGGTACCCGGTACGTTGACGTTCAGAATGTGTGAGCCAGCTGCCGAACAACTAACATCCACTGCAATTCCACAGGAAAAGACTGAGTAAACGTTCCTGTGACTGGTCGTTAGTCAATAGATAAATTACAGTCCTAATTATAGCGCACTGTCATTGAGCTGCCACGTCATGGAATGAATTAAATAGTGTTCACAATGGCAGCAAAACCCGAGCCTGTTAAATGATTTAAATGAACGTGAACAATTGATGCTTCCAGTGACTGCATCAGGTGTTATCTTTGCCGTCAGAACAGTGTCTGTCAAGGCAGCCATTCAGCTAGGTCCCATAAAACCACTTGTCATCACTATTGCTACACAACCTAAAATAATTCACGCTTTCAACACTTGGAAGTGATGGGTGAATCGCTACAGCTTTAATCTATGAAGCGTATCTTTCGTGCAGCAACTGAAAGGGTGAATAAACGAACGTCTTCCTATTGTGTCACAACGAAAGGACATCGATAAACAAATTAATCATGTGATCATCTATCACAATTAGTAACATATTCATGACCAAGGTGTACAAGGTACAAACTATTCTACATAGGAAGTCATTAGCTATGTATTTGTAAACAAAACTGGGATGTTAAACACAGTCATTTTAATATCGTGGAAAGGAAGACTAGACGTCTTATCCATCTAAAAATCCAGAGCAATTACACTGAGAAGCAAAGGATGAAACGGGTTAATTGTCTGATGTTAACGTTTACCTGTTAAAGTGTAAAATATAAAGGAGGAATGTGTACCTACATGTTTTGTACTGGCATTTGGGTCCGTAGAACTTCTCCGTGCAAGCACACGTGGTACCACCTGAATTGCATATCGACCCTGTGCCCTCGCATGCACAACCAGTGCCAACGGATACAATATCTGAAAAAAACAGCTTTCTAGTATTCAAGGACAGTGCGCAGCTCTGCATATGAATAATACAATATTTCATTGACTGGATTCACAACTGACGTAATTTCTGTACTGTATTAATCCGTTGACAAAAAGGAACATCATGAACGGAATTAGAACTTGAAAACGTTTAACAGTTCGTGTGAGTTTGGAGGATTTGTGGGCGTCTTTACTGATTCACAACGTTTATTAGTGATAATCATTAGGGCTCCTCTCCTTCATAAACGCCCCGCATATGGTCATCTGTTTGTAACTATGGTTACAGCATGTTTCAGTTTTATAGTTTCGCCAACGAGTGTCTAATGTTTATATATGCTATAATTTCATATTTAGTCATTTACAGTTCTTTACGAGTAATCACCAAAATATTACTATTACATTTTGAAAAGTTGTACTTATTGTTACCATGTCAAACTTTCTGATATTCAAGGACACTATAGGACAGTGCGTATATCTGCATATCAACAATACAATATTTCATTGACAGGATTCAAAACTGACGTAATTCCTGTACTGTATTAATCCACTGACGAAAGGAACCTCATGAACGGAATTAGAACTTGAAAATGTGTAACAGTTCGTGTGAGTTTGGAGGATTTGTGGGCGTCTTAATGATTCACAACGTTTATTAGGGATAATCATTAGGGCTCCTCTCCTTCATAAACGCCCCGCATATGGTCATCTGTTTGTAACTGTAACTAATGGTTACAGCATGTTTCAGTATTTGTAGTTTCGCCAATGGGTCTACTATTGACCCGGTGTTCTCACATGCACAACCAGTGCCTACGGCTACAATATGTGAAGGACAATGTTTCCAATATTTAAAAACCTTTAAAGAAAACCCTTTCTAACTTCCCTATGTACTAGAATATCCTTTTTTCAACCTAAGCAAACACCTTTTCTTTCAGATTTTACAGGAACGTGTTGCAATAGGTAGACATGGCAGCTGGTGATGAGAACACATCTCCTGGCGGCTACCATAGTGCTCTATACTGGTCATATGGTTACAGTTGACTTCTCAATTTTTGACAATAACAACCTTTGTCAGAATCCCAATATCTCGAACGGTGTGCTGTCATTTTGGAGTACAAGTTTTAATCCTTCAAGATGATGTTGAAACGTATACCAATAAAAGCAAAAATACCTCAAACATTGAAGTCACGAGAAATCGTGTGTGGAAGACATTTCCAAGTTTTGCGGATCGGTGACAAAAAAATCATGCCCAATACAATTCCCCATTTTGACTTGTACCATATGTGTCGATAGTTTGCCAGGTAAACAAGTGAGCTGCCTTTGCATGTTTAGTGTGTCACAGGTGGGGCAGTTTAAGTTGATCTTTACCGCCAACACAAGGTCCGATCACAGTGCGTAGGATAATGTAGGAATGTATACTTAACTCTTTTAACTATGATTAGGTACCACAGTGTATTCACTATGTGGTTAGTCGTATCTAACTCCATATCTTTCCTATTTAGATATATGAATAAATATTCAGAATATACAATTTTGTTGTTGAATGTTTATAGTTTTCCGCCTTGAAGAACAGGGTTAGAATTGGTCTTTAGCAACTATTGCTTGTCGTCAGAGGCGACTAACGTAGACTAACTGACTTGGTTGATGAATGTCATCATGACCACCGACCAGCTCAATATTGCTGGGTACGCTGAGTACAACAGGAAACAAGTTTCACTAATCCTTGATTCAATATCATGCATTGATTTCATATTCAAAATGTATTCATATTTTTCCATCATCATCATCGTCAACATGATTTCAAAGGACGTTTACAAACGCCTACCTGTTCCACAGTTATACAGCCCATTAGGAGCTGTACACGTGCAGTCTCCGTTGGTATCACAGCTGCCAGTTGTACACGTATCACTCGTCCGTAAGCAGTTAAATTCTGCAATCATCAGTATCATGCAATGGTTATGGACTATTAATCAATTTATATAATAGCGGTGTTCAGACAGTTGGGAGGGAAAAAGTAAAACGAAAAGCAGACCATAAATAACATTGACAAATACAAAGAGAATGACCTGATACCGCAAGACTAAGGGTCTTATTCGGGATGAATCAACAATGCAGATGTGTTCAAAGCAGTTTCATCCTTTGGCCATTATACATTGGTGAAGCAAAGAGCCACAAAATAATGTCTTACCTGCATGAGAGCACAGGGGCGGTGGGGTAGCCTAGTGGTTAAAGCGTTCGCTCGTCACGCCGAAGACCCGGGTTCGATTCCCAACATGGGTACAATGTGTGAAGCCCATATCTGATGTCCCCTGCCGGTTATATTGCTGGAATATTGCTCAAAGCGGCGTAAAACTATACTCACTCACTCATGAGAGCATTATAAAGATAAAGGTGTTGTTTATTGCATGCATGTTCTTGATCAGTATCGCCTGAGTATCATATAGTGTGTAATATAACTATATATAGTTTATATATTTAGAAATCCGCAAAATATTATCATTAAACAAATTCGTGCGTTGAATTCACCCTAAACGAACTCAGTATTTGTGTCCCTTTACAGACACACACACATGCACGCACGCACGCACGCACGCACGCACGCACGCACGCACGCACGCACGCACTTACCTATCGTGGACTGTACCTTTACAACAGCAATGCCAATGATTCCAAGAAGTTGCAGTAGTCTTGACATTGTGGTACGGCGGTGTCTGTATCAGGTGAGAATAAAATGGATACATTTTTGCATACATGTATATACTGCTGACAACAAACGTGTGCAGGCTTTAAGACAAGAGAACATAACGAACATGACATAGAAATGCGTTTCAGTATACTGTCATTCCTGATTGAAAGATGCAAATGAATATTATGGCAAAATCGTGCAACCGCAAAATACCGTTATGTTCTGTATTGCTATGTTGATAAATAATAATGACTGATACAGGTCGCCCTGTTACCTTAAAATCGGATTGACATTTGTTTTGCGTGCACATTTTGCGGACATAATGTGGCTGCACCTTTCTAAACAAGCAAAGACAGACGATATACTTGTATATTGACTAATCATGTAACTTATACTTATATACTTATTTTATATATGTATCATTAAAGATAACTTTCAGCAAATCAAGGGCTTCAGGCATTTATTTTGTAAATCTTTAATAGTGAGTGAGTGAGTGAGTGAGTGAGTTGTTATTAACGTCACATCGGCAATATTTCAGCCATATCGTGAAGAGAACATATGTGACATTGAAATTGAAGACATGTATATTATGAAAACCTGTCAACGAAGGACAGTTAAACAACTAGAATATCACAATTACAACTAAAACTAGTGTGGAAAGTTAAAACTGATAGCACTATTTGGACAATACAATATAACAGGCTATAGATCGCCAACAACTGAAGGTAGATCACCATACTAGAGACCATGGGGACTTACAATACCTTTGCTACCTGCATGGACCCTAGGGTTAATATGTTAATATGGCGTTTGCTTCTGCTGTAAAAATAGAGGTAGTTTGATCACCTCCCCCACTTAGAATTGGAAACAACCCTTAACAAAGCGAGTGCCTTCAGGCATTTAGCTTTAAGGGATTTGATATGTGGCAAGAAGGTTAAATGAGAATCGAAAATTAGGCCCAAGAACTTGGCCTCCTTGACAACTTTGATGGGAGTGCCATTTAAAGAAAGTTCTGGGTCCTTGTCCTTATGCGGCTTATATTTTCTACAAAAGTGTAGACAATTTGTTTTTGACTTGAAAAAGTTAAAGCCGTTTTCAAGACACCATTTATTTATTATATTTAAATGAGAATCGAACTGCAGTTGCCGTTCAATAGTATGCATATTTTGTCCTTATGCGGCATATTTTTACCGCCACAAGAAATGTTCAAATCATCCACAAATAATGACCCGTCAATTGAATCAGTTAAAACCTTGGATAAACTGTTGATCCTATTGCTAAACAGTGTGACAGACAAAATACTTCCTTGTGGGACACCCTGATCTTGATTATAATGGTCAGACAGTGTTGAACTAACTCGGACTTGAAATTGCCTGTCTGTTAAAAACCGTGATATAAAAGAGGTAAACGACGCCTTAAACCAAAATCATGTAAATCCTTTAAAATGCCATGCTTCCAGGTTGTATCGTACGCTTTTTCAAGATCAAAGAAGATCGATACTGCATGTTGTTTATTTACTATAGCATTTTTAACAAAGGATTCTAAACGTACCAAATGATCAATGGTACTACGATTTTCCTGAAATCACATTGAATATTTGTTATAAGGTTGTTGGTTTCAAGATACCAAGTTAATCTATTATTTACCATTCGTTCCATGGTTTTGCAGACACAACTCGTTAAAGAGATTGGTCTGTAATTAGATGGGTCAGTATGATCCCGGCCAGGTTTTGGTATTGGGATTACAATGGCATTACGCCACGAAGTAGGAAACTTTCCAGACGTCCATATGTTGTCAAATATATCTAAAAGTGTGGCCAGACATGGTTCAGGCAAGTGTTTTAGTAGCTGATAATGGATATTGTCATCACCCGCTGCTGTATCATGAGCTTGCTCAAGAGCTGTATATAAATCATGCAATGAAAACACTTCATTGTAGTCTTCACCGTTATTGGAATCAAAATTAAGTTTGTTTTTTTCCTGTTGTTTCTGATATTTCTGACACTCAGGGACATAATTTGCCGATGAAGAATTTTTGGCAAGAGTTTCGCCAAGTTTATTTGCAATGTTACATCTGTCAGTTATGAAGTCGTCACCATCTTTAAGATGGTGAACAGCAGATTTTGAACCCTTTACCTTTTATTCTCTGAACCATGTTCCACACCTTAGTCATTGGTGTGCGTGAACTAATTTTGGAGACATAGTTTCTCCAAGATTGGCGCTTGTTTTGTTTATATGCCGGACGTGCCTTTGCATTTGTAATTTTAACATTACTCAAATTATGACCTGTAGGATGTCGGCGAAAATATTTTTCTGCCTACATCCTACATTTCCTGGCTTGTTTGCATTCATTGTTACACCATGGTTTACGAATATGAGGACTCGTAGAGGACTTAGGAATTGCTTGTTCAGCAATGTCATTCAGTCGAGTGGAGAACAAATGTATGGGATCTGATACATTTTTAAAATTGTCCGGTATTAATTTTTCCGCACACATTGTTTCAAACAAGGACCAGTTGGCTTTTGGAAAATTCCAACGTGATGAAGGTGGATCATCACCCGGTTTGATCGCTTTTAGGACAGTAGTGAAGTGATCACTTCCACAAAGGTCATCATGAACAGACCATTCAAAATCGTTGTAAACATTCGAATCTACAAGAGACAGATCAAGGGAAGAATAGGTTCCTGTAGCAGGGTGTAAATAGGTGCTTGATTCATCATTGAATACACATAAATCATTATTAGAAATAAAATCCTCAATGACCTTGCCTTTATTGCTTGTACTTGTACTGCCCCATAGAGGGTTGTGCCCGTTCAAATCGCCCATGATAATGCAGGGCTAAGGTAGCTGATCATACAGAATCTGAAGATCAGATTGCCGAAGAGCAGATGACGGTGGAATGTACAAAGAACACAAAGTAAAAGTAAGAAGCTTGAAGATTGGTATTTAGTGGTATCACTATGGATGATATTCTGTCTTACTAATATAGTGGATCCTCCAGTCGCTTTATCCCCTGGAGGAGAATATAAATGATGACATTTGTACTGCCTTAAATCAAATGTATCAGTGTGTTTAAGATAGAGTGCCAACGGTTTAAAATCCTGAACCAACAATTGGATTTCATTAAAATTATTTCTAAGTCCTCTACAATTCCACTGTATTATATTTTGCAAATGATTCATGACTTGGGAGCATTTATTGGCGCCCTACCTCGCCTCGGCTTTGTAGGCGATAAACTCCCCGTCCGAAGATGGATGTGTTCAGATACATCCATCTTCGAGGGATCCAAACTTATTATAAAGTTGGATCTCATCTTTTGAACCCTTAGCAAGTCTGTCACTTTGGTTGATTCTGTTGAACTTTTGATTTCCTTTTACAGTTTGTTTAACTGGATTTTCATCTACAGTTTTGAAGGAACACGAACCTGGTTTATGTTTTACATGAGCAGTTTCACTGTTAGTTTTCCTTGTATCTGATTGTGTCTTAGGATATGCCGAACCCTTCTGTGAAGAAGACACAGATCGAGATTGAGAGGACAGCAATGTAGCTGGTAACAAGTCAGTCTGTGTAGCAAATTCTCCTCGTTGTGCAAGGTCTTCTTTCGGGACAAGTTCCGGAGAGGTTGATTTGGTCCATGTTAAGTCCGTCTGACATTCAACTGAGGCTGTAGTCGGAGATGTTCTTTTGGTAATTGAAGCATAAGACTCACTTTGATTGAGGATGGTACGAGTTTCTTCACATCAGCATAGCTAATGTTTTGCGTATGCTTTAATATATTTACCTCCACTTCCCTCTTCCATACTGGGCAATCTTTTGATGATGACGAATGCTTGCCAGAACAGTTGACACATTTTTTATAGTTGCGTTCACAGTCTTCTGTCACGTGTGATTGCTCTCCACAATGAGCGCAGGTTATAGGATTTAAGCAAGAATTTATTCCGTGACCAAATTTTGACATTTAAAGCACCTCAACGGATTTGGGATGTACAGTTCAACTTGCAACAATTCCCTCCTTTGATTGATTTTGGTGCAGTTGGAGATACAAATGAGAACAGGTAAGTATTCGTTGGTATTACTTCGGAGTTCTGACGTCGAGTAAATCGTTTCACGTACGTGACACCTTGGTCTTTAAGTTCTAGCATGATGTCAAGTTCTGTCATGTCCTCTAAAAGATTATCCCTATCCCTAACTATACCTTTACTTGAATTGAGGGTCCGGTGGATAGACACTGTAACAGGAGATCCAGTTAACGTATCAGTTGCAAGCAGGTTGGTTGCTTGTTGCCGTTTGCTACATTCTATGAGCAACGATCCAGATCTCATTCGCTTGATATTTTTGACATCTCCTGCTATACCATATATAGCTTTAGAGATAATAAACGGGTTCAGTTTGATTGGTTGTTTATCTGGAGATTCAATTACCAGAAAACGTGGCCAGTAGTCTATTTGTTTGGATAGCCTACAACTTTCAGTTGTACTTTGATCATCAAGTTGACGGGTTTTTTTCATGGGGGTTTCAAGTTCCATGTTGAGGTGTAGAGTTTCATCATCCCAGCTCCCCACCAACCACGGAGTATCATAAAGACAATGCTATACTGAGTCAAAAAAGAAACTTCACAAAATGTAATTTGAAAAATAATGAATAATTTTTCTCTGATCATACATCTATGTATCCGAAATGGGATCCCTATCTTTCAGAAGACCGTCAAATCGTCCTACGTCACCTACGTGACAGATTTCTGCCGGCTACACGAACCAGGGCTGAGATGTTTAGAGGTCGACTGTCCTCACAGGCCATTCGAAATCGGTTGCGGGCTGCCAATCTCAATTCTCCACGTCCATATCGTGGGCCAATATTGACGCCGTTTCATCAACGTCAACGTCTGCTGTGGGCCCAACGTCACCTCTGATGGACCCAGAGAGACTGGAATCGATTCGTCTTTAGCCGATGAATGCAGATTAACCCTCAGATTCGCGGACGGCAGGCATAGAGTCTGGAGACGACGTCGTGAACGGTATGCCCAATGTTGTGGACAGGAAGTCGACAGATTCGGGGCAGAATTTGCATGGTGTGGGGTGCTTTCTGTGGGAACAACCGTTCCCGACTTCTGGTCATCCGTGGAAACCTCACAGCGACCAGGTGCTCACCCCTGAACTCGTTTCTTTCATGGCGGCTCATGGCCCAGGTCTACAGTTCCAGCATGATAATGCTCGGCCGAATACCGCGATGTTGACACGAAATTTCCTTCAAAACGCTGGAATCAACGTCATGGACTGGCCATCGAGGTCCCCTGACCTTAATCCAATAGAGCACGTTTGTGATGCACTTGGGAGAAGGTTTCGTGGTCTTAGGAACCAACCTCAGAATTTGCAGGAACTTGGCGCTGCCTTGCAAGAGCAATGGCGCAGAATACCCAACCACGTGTTCACAAGCATCAGGCAGTCGATGAGGAGACGGTGTTTGGCAGTGGTGAATGCGCGGGGCGGCCATACACTATATATTGAACTGAGAAATTTCGCATTTTTATTCTTGTGACTTGACATTCTGTATACCCATGTTTTGGAACGGCGGTGTAGCCTAATGGAACTGATTATGGCACTGTCAGTGTATCGAGTACATCACACAGATCTCAGCAATAAAATAATAACAATTTAACCACCTTACCATCTCTTAATCTTTTATAGTGCCCTGAAGAAAGAATGTGAAGTTTCGTTTTTGACTCAGTATATATACAAGTGGATCTCCGACTTGCAGCACCAAGGATACTGGGATGATATACTCATACAGATAGAGTAAATAATTAATCAATCTACCAGATTGGCCCATGCATATGAGCCACCGCCTTCTGGGCACAAGACTCTAGGCAGAATAACCAGGACATATTTCAAAATCTAATGATAGTGTATAAACAAAAAGAGCCAAGACCTAAAGTCCAAAATATAGTTTATAATTCAATTTGTGCAGATACAAGTAATGCACAGGGCTTGGCATGACCAGACGATTGGTTGAACCGGGCCCATTCAACCACCCGTCTAGGTGAAGTAAGGGCCGAAGTGGTGTGTTGGGCAAAGGAACGCTATTCCTGGAACCAGTGCCCTCAACCACCAGACTCCCGTCCTCCACCGACACAGGGGCGCAACCCACGGCAAACGGGTTGGTGGACCAAATATACCCCCGGGTCTACAACGGGGGGTTGAAGAGGTAAATCTTTAATATGAGGTCGAAAGGTCAAGTGCTCATCAAACATTAAATCAAAAATTCACTCCTTTTACCACTTTGGGTGTATTATCTAAATAAGTCTGGGTCCTTGTGAGGTTTATATATTGATTTATATTTGAGGTTTTTGATTTTGAAAATTTAAATCCATTTTCCAAACACGATTTATAAATCTTGTTTAAACAAAGCTGCAGTTGTCTTTTAATAGAATGTATATTTTTCCACGACAAGAAAGGTTAAAATCTTCCACAAATAACCATTCTTTTCTAAAACCTTTGCTAACTGTTAATCTTTATACTAAACAATGATCCTGACTATAATAATGATCAGACAGGGTAGAACCCACCCGTACTTGAAATTGCCAGTCATATAAAAGTTTGGATATAAACTGAGGCAAACGGCCTCTCATTCCAAAGTCATGTAAATCTTTTAAAATACCGCATTTACATGTAGTGTCGTATGCTTTTTCTAGATCGAAAAAATCGACACTGCATGTTGTTAATTAATTACAGCGTTTTTGACAAATGATTCTAAACGCAATAAGTGATCAATGGTACTTCTGTTTTTACGTAAACCACATTAAATGTCAGTTATTAGCTTCAAAATGTGCAAGAAACATTGTACAAGAAACATTTTGTATGTTTGAGATTGGTGGAAGTCCGCTAGAATCAAACTTAGATATTAAAGTGCACAAAAAGGCATTTTGAGGTCGCCCTTACACCTCAAAGACGGATTGACATTTGTTTTGCGTACGCATTTTGCGAACATAATGTAGCTACACCTTTCAAAACAAGCAAAGGCAGACAACATACTTGTATAATGACTAATCATGTAAATGGGAACATATTTTATATATGTAACTTAATACAATTATTGCATGCTTACTGTAAATATTTAAGCACAGGCAGGACATATTCATATCATTTGTAACAGGTGAACATGCCATTAGATACGTTAGAGTGAGCGAGTTGGGTTTAACACCGTTTAACAGTACTCCAGTGGTATCACAACCCGTCTGCATAATCGGGGAGGAATATCCGAGATGATGCAAGCCACATACACCAACCACTTTGGTTAAAACCAATTAGCCCGGCTATGTTGCTGACATTGCTATTATGGTGAGAGTCTTTAACAGACCCATTCGGTGTTTTCCCATCTGAATTAGGCCAAACAGTTTTTAAGTAGAACTAAAATACGATCCTATATCTTAGGTCAGCTGATAAGAGCTAGTAATCAAAATATTCCGAGGATCTTCTCTTTTCAAAACAGATTACTTTTTACTTACACGAAGCTAAACCTACCAGTAGCATGCTATATTTTAATGAAATATAAGGTAGTGTTACCTCGATTTCTAAAATTAAAACTTAAACTTCATGGAGTAATCAATATCGATAATATGGCGAAACCAACTCAAAAGATTGTAAACCTATATCCTTGGAAACATATGTATATATCTGACACTTGGAATAGATAGCATAAATGCGAGTGTCCAAATGTATGTTTGCATTTACGTAAATAATCACACCTGCAAACTGGATAAAAAGCCACAAAAAGACATAATACAAATAAGAAACATTCTAAGGTTAACATCACTGAAGGAATCTCAGATGTACAGTTGGGCGCGCTATACACAACAACCACCCATGATAAAAGTTGGTTCCAACTTTTGCCAGAGATACTTACCCAAATATGTTTCAGATTGCCCTCCAGAAAGATCAGTATGAGAATACACACACGATGTCGTTGTCTTTGATATATATACTACTTGAGGGGCCCCTCCCTTATTTCTGTTCCGGGTCGCGTAATATCAACAACATCTTTGATTTAATACAACCTGTCACTGGCTGACTTCGAGAGGGTGTGTATCCTTTCCCCTTACCCAATCTTTGCTCAAAGATTAATTTGATTCTATTTTAGGTATCTATAAATATACCACTTAACACCCCAACGGGTAAACACTGATGTCCTTGGTGGAAAATCTTCAAGAGACTGAAGAATTAAAGATGTGTAGAGCAAAACACCTCACAACATTTGTAGGGATTCTCGAGTACTAACGCGGTAATTAAACTAAACGCGGTAGTCAATGAAATATTATCAAATAGAAATTACACAATTACACGGATCCTCGACGTGGATAACACATGCTAAAATAAAACACCCTGTGTTCACAACAGATCTTGACAGTTTCTTTTGAATGTTATAATCCTGAATGACCTCAACAACAGTTCAGCAAAAGTAACGTGTTTCTCTTGATAGAATCTTTATAGAAACTTAAGAGTTTTCTGAACTGTCGGTCAATAGTTGTGATATGTAGACACCAAATGCTACAGCTGCTGAACACTTGGGGACATTCACTATTGGAAGGTAGGTTCACATGGGCATGTTGACTCTACTACTCCTGAGGTGAAATTGGCCACGTTGACTTTTGCTCCTAGTGCGGTCCACTTGGCCACGTTGAAAATTAAGTGAGTGAGTGAGTTACAATTTATCGTCACATCGGCAATATTTCAGCCATATCGTGACGAGATCAATTAATTGTTATACATAGTTATTGATGGTAAATTATAAAAACCTGTTAACGAAGGACAGTAAAATGACTAGATTATCACATATATGAATTTAAAACAAGTAATTAAATCTAAAACAGTTTAACTATAGATGACAATACAATATAAAAACAGGATACAGATTGCCAACCACTGAAGGTAGATCACCATACTAGGGACCATGGGGACTTACAGTACATTGGCTTCCTGCATGGGCCCTAGCTGGATTTGCATCATCCCTTCAGCCGTTAGCTATTGAGACAAATTTAGCCATATATTAAAATCACACATATTCTAAGATTAAAAAGTGGAGTGCTTCAATTTAACTTGAATGTTTTGGGACTTACGTACCCTCTCAGGAGGTCAATAAATTTACAGCACTTTAACCCCGTTTGAGGATACAGCCACTAACAATCTGAGTTAATTTAAACTTCCAATCATAAAATATTTATCTATTTACGAATTATTCAACAAATCTATTTCGTTTAAACATGCTAAAACAAAATGAGAACTGGTATTATTTAAAACATCCTTCATAGTTCGTGATTTGAAATAGTTATCCCTTATGGTGGAATATTTAATACAGTCAAGCAAGAGATGCTTGACGGTGACTCTTTCATCACAAAGGATACAAAATGGAGGGTCCGCACCTTTTAACAGGTATTCATGAGTATATCTAGTATGGCAAATACGACATCGTCGCATGATGACCTCTTCAAATCTGGACTGACAACCCAAGTAGGTGTAACCAATAAAGGGTTTTATTGCATGTACTTTATTGATACCTACTTGGGTGTACCACTTCTTCTACATCACGGATGTAAGTTCTAATGCTAGCTTTGTAATCGGAGTTTAGAATAAGAAGTGGTGTCACAGATTTGTTGAGTGCTGCCTTAACAGTAAAATCGGCCATTGTGTTCCCAGAAATACCAACGTGACTGGATAACCAACAAAAGACGATGTCGTATTGGCCAGTCGCAAGATCATTATATAATTCAATAACTTGGATTTAAAGTGGATGTTTACAAGAAAGATTTTTAATAGCCTGAAGAAAGAGAGTCGGCAAAGATTATATATTGTTTGTATTTAGGGTGTGTATTAATATATCTTAAGGCTGTTCATATGGCTTTAGCTTCTGCTGTGAAAATAGACCTGTTATCAGGCAATCGAGAAGATATTGTTCTGGATCCAATGACAGAGGCACAAGCTACTGCGCCACCATCCTTGGATCCATCTGTAAAAAAGGATTTATATGCATTATATTAATTTCTTAATTCACTAAATTTTTGTTTATATTGTAATTCAATAGTTTCTGATGTTTTAAATGTGGTTAATGTTAGGTCAACTTGAGGCCTAACCAATTGCCAAGGAGGAGAAGAAAGAAGGATGGAAGGAGCTATATTTTCCAGCGCATCGCGGGCAGCAGAAATTAATGGTTTAATTTCTTAGCCCAAGAGGCGGAATTGAAAATTAACACCACTTTACTAAGGATCATGGGAATTTACAGTGCTTTTGCTTTCTACATGAATTCCAAGCAGGATTTACGCCATCCCTTTGGTTATCAATGGCTGTAGGTTATGCTAGCCAATATTTAAAAAAACTCAATCAAACTTCTAATACTCTAGACAATATTATATATTTTGATCAACAATAGACTTATGTGTCACAGGAAGAAAGACACTATTTGTACACTACTTTAAACCCTCTTAATGTCACTACCATCTACGGTCTCAGTTGATGATAATATTAATCTAATTTTTTTAAACACACATCGATGTCCAAATTTAGTTGAATTTCTCTAAAAAGTTCCTTTAAAGTATTGGAATGATAATATAGATCCCTATTAATATATACTGAGTCAAAAAAGAAACTTCACAAAATGTAATTTGAAAAATAATGATTAATTTTTCTCTGATGATACATCTATGTATCCGAAATGGGATCCCTATCTTTCGACTCTAGAAAAACGGTAGCAAAACCCACTCAAACCCATCCATTCGTCGTGCAAATGACGTTAGTGCCAAATCAGGTTTTGCACGTGCAGTCGATTATGGCAAGAATTGAAAAAACACTTTTAAACCACAGTTCTAACGGTACTTGAAATGCCACGATTGTCAAATGTGCAACGTGAACGTGTTGTTGGCATGTTGCAAGCAGGAAGATCAGTTATTGACGTCGCAAGAGCAATGGGATGCAGCCGTCGTACTGTGTATGACTTGCGAGGTCGTCTACAACAAACGGGCACCACTTCTGATCGCCCAAGGTCGGGTCGTCCACGTGTGACGTCACGAGCAGAAGACCGTCAGATCGTCCTACGTCACCTACGTGACAGATTTCTGCCGGCTACACGAACCAGGACTGAGATGTTTAGAGGTCGACTGTCCTCACAGACCATTCGAAATCGGTTGCGGGCTGCCAATCTCAATTCTCCACGTCCATATCGTGGGCCAATATTGACGCCGTTTCATCAACGTCAACGTCTGCTGTTGGCCCAACGTCACCTCCGATGGACCCAGAGAGACTGGAATCGAGTCGTCTTTAGCGATGAATGCAGGCTTACCCTCAGATTCGCGGACGGCAGGCATAGAGTCTGGAGACGACGTCGTGAACGGTATGCCCAATGTTGTGGACAGGACGTCGACAGACTCGGGGGCGGAAGTTGCATGGTGTGGGGTGCTTTAGGTGGGAACAACCGTTCCCGACTTCTGGTCATCCGTGGAAACCTCACAGTTTCTGCTTACCGCGACCAGGTGCTCACCCCTGAACTCGTTCCTTTCATGGCGGCTAATGGCCCAGGTCTACAGTTCCAGCATGATAATGCGGCCGAATACCGCGATGTTGACACGAAATTTCCTTCAAAACGCTGGAATCAACGTCATGGACTGGCCATCGAGGTCCCCTGACCTTAATCCAATAGAGCACATTTGGGATCCACTTGGAAGAAGGCTTCTTGGTCTTAGGAACCAACCTCAGAATTTGCAGGAACTTGGCGCTGCCTTGCAAGAGCAATGGCGCAGAATCCCCAACCACGTGTTCACAAGCATCAGGCAGTCGATGAGGAGACGGTGTTTGGCAGTGGTGAATGCGTGGGGTGGCCATACACTATATATTGAACTGAGAAATTTCGCATTTTTATTCTTGTGACTTGACATTCTGTATACCCATGTTTTGGAACGGCGGTGTAGCCTAATGGAACTGATTATGGCACTGTCAGTGTATCGAGTACATCACACAGATCTCAGCAATGAAATAATAACAATTTAACCATCTTACCATCTCTTAATCTTTTATACTGCCCTGAAGAAAGAATGTGAAGTTTCTTTTTTGACTCAGTATAGTTAGACTGACTACTTTTTGAACGCCCCTCGTATCTTCAGAGTTATGTGGCCTTATTTTTATACTTTGAATAGTAACTGACTCTCTAGTCCCATCGGTAAGGGTTCATGCAGATAAATTACAGGAATATGCGAAGAATCTCAGCCTATATGAACGTCCTCTGTGACCACAAAGGAACAAGCTCCCTTGTCAGCTGATCTGTTTGCATTTTCCCCGGAATGTTTGGGTACATGTATGTGGGGATTCGAATGACTCATTTTTACTACCTATCAGTTTATGAAAATACTTAAGTGTTATATCCCTATTTGGTGTCCATTTCATAATCATACTTAGAAAAGGTGACTACCTTCAAGTTCAAGGTCGAGGTTTTGGAAAGGTGGATTGTTATGTGTGATATTTGGTGTTGATGTTGCTCGGGTGAGAATTATGAATGCATCCAACATAGAAAATGCCAGGTAAAAACAATTAATGGTCATATCACTGTCATATCACTTTAAATATGGATTATGTATACAGTAACAGTCTGGATCGGCTTAAGGAACTTCATATTGCAATTTTGTAGGCGTCCGGAGAGGGGAAAGTTACTGGTTTCGTCAACATGCTTTATATGAAATGGCGTTACAAGAAAACCTTTGCGGTTACCCAACCTTGTGCACGGTAGTAGGGTCCAGCCGACTCGGAGTCAGTAGTATGTGTCTGAGAAAGATAGTCGGGTTAAAACTGTCATCTCAGTGGGACGTGCTCATGCAGACGTGTGTCGTACAAGGACGTTCTGGTCGTTGGTTCGAAGCCCACATTTGTCCTGACTATGATCTTTGATTTGTTAGGACCAAAGCAGCGTTTGTGGCTTTTAGAAATGTTAAACATATCCTCCTACTAGCATCAAGCTTACACCGCG